GTGTCATCGTTGTGTACTGATGACACATATGGATGTTTCAATATTGAATATATAATTACCAACATTTTCAAACAACTGTTCGCATAAAAAAGCCATAAATAGCTGTGAAAATCCAATTCAGAAAAGTCACCTGGTGTTATACCAAGTTTCAGGTTATTTTTATATTCTATTCTATTATATTATGTTATGTTATATTATGTTATATTATGTTATTTTTATATTATATTATGCTATGTTATGTTATGTTATGTTATGTTATGTTATGTTATGTTATCAAATAAAGAAGCTGATGTGTTATCAAAACAAGTGTCTGCATGTTTTCACTTCATGGATGAAGCAGGATGAACAGGTGAAAGAAGTAAACTTTTTCAGTACTTGGGGAAAACAAAAAAAGCGATATTATAAAATTAACTAAATATATATATAGTTCCTTATAGTTTGTGGCTGTGACTCAGCAGGTTGAGCAGGTCATTTGCTAATGACTTAAAGGTTTGGTGGTTTGATTCCTGGCTGCTACTGTCTACATACCAAAATATCTATATTAGTAGAAAAGCAATTAAACTGTCCACTACATTTCTGTAATCCTACTAAACCAAAGTTCAGACTCTCAAATTGAAGACCCAACTGGAATTTTGGCAGTACAATAACTAAATCTGCAAAAAAAAAAAGATCACTTAACACTAATCCTTGTGGCCGTAAAAAAATAGAAGCAACAACTCCCATCATTCTGAAAAGAAAGTTCATGCTCTGTTAGCCCAACCATGACTGTGGCATTGACAGAAAACTCAGAATGTCCTCTTGACCGTACACTAGGACTGATATAGATTGTATAACTGATGAATGCAGAGGTCTCCAACTCATAGAGAATTTCTGGGTCTTTGAAGGATACCTGCTGTTACTCCACTGAGCTGAGCGAACTGCACACCTTTACAAATGAGTAAAGTTTAATAAAGTGTACTTACGATTAAGGGTCACCAAAGCCAGAAAGGACACTATCAGCAGACCGACTCCTATCGACAGCCTTTTCTTGGTCAGGCTGTAGTTTGTGCAACGGTCACCAGACTGCAGACAGGAGACTGTTGTTAGAGTTTGCTCGAGATGCAGATTTGGTCACTTAAAGAATCAAACAATATATTATAAGGAAGACAATGACATCAAGAAACATCTGAGGACTGAAGTCAGCACAAATTGACTCAGTCAGTAACAAAGTCCTGCAAGGATGCATTAAAAGAAACACAAACAAGGATTCTCTATGACAAACATTTAAGCTATGGAAAATATAAACTATAAGAGGAAGCTTTATGCTGCTGGCAATGAGACAAGAGCAGAGAAAGTGAATTGTAATCGACACTTAAGGAACGTTTTATTTTATATGTTTTTGTCAAGTCAGAAGTAAAAATAGAGCGCTAAGTTACTGGGAAACAACCTGCATCCATAAAGTGCACAGCTGAATCACACACTTACAACAGCTGCTCATTGTTGTTAATACATTTCAACATGTCACGGTCCTGGGTCGGTGGCCCAGTGCTTTGAGTTTCTTGTGTCTCTGAGTTTTTGTATTAGAATCTTAGTTCTTTGTTGCCCAAGTTTATTCTTTAGTCGAGTGTCTTAGTTTGGCTTTCTTGTATTCTCTTTAGTTCTCTGAGTATTTCGTAGCCGCCCTCTGTCTCCCTGTTATTGTTCTCTGTTTCTTAGTTGCTCTGTCTCCCCTAGTCAAGTCTGCGTCTATGTTTCATTTCCTTTTTACTTTGAAGGTCTGTGTCCTACGTGAATGTATTGAGTTTCGCTTCCCTTGGGTCTCGTTATGTCCGATTTCTCCCTGCTGTGCTCCCCTTCTGTGTCTGATTCCCCTCGTTGTTTCCCAGTGTATTTAAGCCCTGTGTTTCTCTGTGTCAGTGTTGTGATCGCTCTCATGCTGTGTGTTTCTCCCTGTGTGTGTTTTGTTAGAGTCGTCCCAGTTTAGGTTTTGTAGACGTTCTTTGTTCAGCTGCCATTTTGAGTTAATCCCATTTCTAGTGAGTTTGTGTTTGGGTCCAATTCCTGGCTGCACACAGCCGAAACATGACACAAAAAGGCACCAGCACCACAGACAAGGTGAAGATGAGTTCAGTGACTTCAGTTAGCAGCTGTAGATACAGCCACACTCCCAGCTTCAAGCCTTAAGAGTATCCAAACCAACGAGTGATCAAAAAGTGGTTTGGGTTATTTTTATGAAATAAAACCAGTTACTGCGACTCATGTCCACCCTCTGGATTAGTCACTGTTTTCATTAATGCTATTTTTAGGCAGCCTTCTGATGACAGCCTGAGAAATTACCCCAACTTCTCGCTATAAGTGGGCGGTTTCTCAAAAGGCAGAAATTCAACCATTTCCTTCTTTTTTTGTGATTAGCGTCAGGGTGGAAATATGAAACATGATTAGTGAGATTCTGTCTCTTCTAAAGAGAAAACAGTGGTGAGAGAAAGACTACAAGATTGTGTGCACAGATTATTTAGCGGTGCACAGAATTTGGAACCATTAACAACATATTAATATAAAACAAGAACATCTGTTTTTTAATCTAAGCTGAAACCAACAAACCTGTTCCTGATGTGACGTAACGGGCAGGTTAACATTACAGATGCTGGACTCACCTGTCTGCTACTTAAACTCTCCTGTGAACCCAGTAAATCCACAGTGTCAGTGTCCCAACTCATGGTTCCCAGGGGGGGGGCTTAAAAAAAACTTCAGTGTGGTTTATTGTCCTCGTTATTTATTTTTTTGTTTTTTATTTAAAGGTCAGCAGGTCTCTCTCTCTCCCTCTCTGGGTGGAAGCCGACGGGTTTGTGTTGGTTCTTATTGGAAGCTCAGTTCTGGAAAAAGACTGAGAGATGAAAGATGAGATTGGTCGCCTGTTCTTTAAACCGTATTCAGATTCTGATATATGTTGGAATCATCCTAATTTTAATCACATTAAATTATTAAGAGAGAAAAGTCTGATCCAATCTGAACATTAATATCTGAAAAACTCTCTAAAAAGATCACATTTTCACCGCTCGTCCTTTTCTAAATAAATCTGTTTAATTTGGGACAATTTTACTAAAAAAGTCTGAGTACCAGATGGTTGATACATAAGTCAGACCCATGTTTGGGCAAAAGACAACAAGTACCTTTTTTTTTTTTAAGTGGTTTTATAGAAAACAGTATGACAGCAACAGTTTTCTCCTTTTTGTACAAAGTTTGTTTTTCCTGCGCTTTGACACTTTAGTTGGTTTTTGTGTTTACATGTTGCTATGATGTAGTAAAGAACAATCACAGGGACTTCATGAGTTTCAAAAACTGTTATTTGCAAATAAATAAATATTTGTCATTGGTGCCACGACCAAAACCTCTGACTGCACGCTCACACTCATTTCTGCTGAGGCCCCGCCCCCACAGGATGTGTGTAGTTTGTTCACATAGAACTAAAAGAAAACATATTAACTTAAAAACATTTTTCTAAGAATGCTGACATGACCAGATATATATCTATTTCTAAATGTCATCTCTATTTTACCTTACACCATAATCCTTTCTAAACCAGAGCACATCATGGAAACTCATATTAATTGTTAGCAGAGATTTTGCACTTGAGAAAAGAAAATCTATTTTAAAAAAAAAAAGATAATAAACAATTAAATGATTCTGGAAACTCACAGAAGCTGAATTTCATTAAAAATCAAAACAACAATAATGCATATTAATCCAAATATAAGAGATAAATGTAATAATGCTGTGAGATAATATTTGTGTTTGAGAAGAACTCGTTTAACTGAAGATCTGATTTTTTTTCTTCTTTTGAAAGCTTTAAATATCCTACTGTCCTGAGTCTTTAATGTTGTGTCTGTGCACTTCAGCAAAAGTGATTTAAACAACAACAGTAGTTGTATGTGTCAGAATAACTTAACAATTTCATTTATTTTACCGTCTGTGGGAAAATAGCACTTTTGGCTCAGCTAATGTAAGTATCCCAACATGTCACGATGATACACCAGTATCCATAAAAGGCAGCAGGGCTGAGCACACCTCAGCAATTTTTCACCGCCTCTTTTAAAGTTAAGAAATTTTTTTTTCCTTCAATTCAGCCAGCGGGACAAAAAAAACGACATTATAATATTGAGTGCGCAGCTGCAACTCAGCTGCTAAGTTGTACCTGCTCCACCTGCACACCACCTTCTCTTCAAACGTTTAAAAATACTGGCGACCACCAGTGCTGCCCTCCAGCCTCCTACTAGATACACCTATGATATCGACTAGTCATTGAATTCACTAGATTTTCAGAAACCCTGAGCTGAAGACCAGGAGCCAGGACGGCAAATACACACAGTCCTACAGCTCACACAGAACTGCCTAAGAGCACGAACACTTCTACTCTAGTAATGAACACTTTTACCACCTTTGACTATCAAACAACATAACAGACATGACGGTTAAATAATAAATATTGTTTTAAAGGAAAATGAAAAGTGGATTCATTATATAAAAATGTAAAACCATTACATCAGTGAAACACTGTTCTCACTGTTCTCACTGCATCATTAGAAAAGAATTAATTCAAGTTCAATTGACATTTGAAGAAAAAACCTGTTGATTGCAAACTAATCTGTTCATTCAAAGCTGTGTGTGTGTGTGTGTGTGTGTGTGTGTGTGTGTGTTTTGATGTGGTTTAATCTCAGTTAGCATAAAGAGATTCTGATTTGTTCATTTTCTGATGATTTCGTTATCTTATGCTTGCAGATCCACATTTACTGTACTTACATTTATATAGTAGTGCGTAGTTTCACTGACCAGTTACATTCTTGCAGCTCTTTATTCTAAATTTCAAAAACTTGATCACATCCTGTGAGGTGACAGTGCTGACTACTGTAGCAAATCTTGTGCCTGTGTCAAGACACGATGTACTTCAGTCCTTTTTTGC